ATAATTTATTTACAATTGTATAATTATTTCAAAAGAGAAAAAGGAGAACGCGAAAACGCGAAAACTGTAAAACCCCATAGCCAAAAGTTTTTAACTTACAAATAGCGCGCTTATTCCATTACCAAAATGCATATTGGAATTCAAATGAATTAGAAAATGATAATTCAAAACTGAATTTATTTCCATCGAAGGTGCATAGCTGGCATAGTCATTCTGAAACAGTGAAATATCCTTTACTAGGACAAGATCTAGAATGGACAACCAAAAATGCGTTTCGCCATTGGAATTCACTGGCCGATCAGTACTCTGACTGATTATTAGTAGTTTTCTGAAATATATATCGCGGCAAATACTATTTTCCTGATTATTTGCAAGTATAGTTTTGCTTTTAATGCCAAATTTTATAACAAGTTGGAGCATGGTAWTTCAAAATCATTAACAGTTCCTCACCTTTCRGAGACAGYGATATGTCAGTTGTTGTTATATCTTTTTCATCCAGGGCATAGTTGATTATTATTTGGTAAGAGCTTGTCACGGGGACTTCAATATCGACGGAGAATGACTACAACCAGAAGACGGAAATATCAAGCATTAATGCAGGTTGCATAAAGATGAGATATCAAAAGATAAAAGAAGGGAACTTGATTAGTAAAATGAGAAGCAATAAAAGAAAGAAGGAATGGAAAAGGAATGAACAATTGGAAGATAGAAGAATGCATTGGAAGAAATAAAAGAAGCAAAACACTGAAAYGATGCAGAAAAAAGATGCTRAGAGTAAAATGGATATTATCATGATGGAAAGACCTGTGAGGCATGAACAGAGGTATTACTCACCAAGTATATGGGTGGTATTACGTACCCAATACCRGAGAACGACGGGAATGCTGAYTGATCTGATCCAGTCAACACAGGAATCCCGTCATTGCCGATAGCATCCTCTAACTCAGTTTTAATATGATAAAGTGTAGGAAAGTATGAYCTTGATGAGGCTGCAATTCTGTCAAAGTTAGCATTGAGGAAATTATCAGTAAAAAACGTGCAACAAAATATTACTTTAGAACTACTTGATAACTAAACTGAATGATTTAACTAACAAAGTTTACAATATCTACGAAAGTCACTTTGAGTCAAAGGATGTCCACCAACGAAGTTACCTGCGTAGCAAGCAACCATTTAACTAAACAACCAACCACCAACCAAACAACTGGCCAACAGACTAGCCGAACAACTAAAAAAAAAATTTACCAATCGACTGACCAGATAACCTAAATCACAAATCATTTAATCAACCAATCAGCGTGTCTCTBACCTGTCGCACGAAGATCCCTCTACGCCAGGTTGACATTTACATCGTCCTGACTTTTTATTGCATATACTATTTACAGAGCCTCCGTGATTGCATGAACACTCTAAAAACAAATAAAGTCCTCAGGAGTTTATCAATCATTAGAGCGGATTTCGTATGARTGGGACACCGTYACCGCACGGTTACCGCACARTTACCGGACCTGGCCAGCAAAATTTTGGTGAATCAATGGGGCACTAGAATTTGGTTAMAGTACGATTACGGTCACAGTGCAGTACCGTMCGTTTCCCACTCATACGAAATCCGCTCTATARGAGAYACTGCAAAACCTACCTCTACAGCCRAACAGGTCACGTGACATTAACCCGTATGTTCCAATTTTRCAWGTGTCGCATTTAGTTCCTTTGACAGTGCTCTTGCAGCTGCAGGTCCCGGATGTGAAGTCACAGCCTCGCACTCCTGCTACAGATCCTCGGTTTGAGCATGTGCAAGGTGAACATGCCGCTGGATTGTCTTTATTGAAGTCGTAGAAGCCATAACGACATCTGTCACAAGTCTTGCCTTCGACATTTGCTTTGCAGAGACATCTCATCTTATAATTGAAAAGAAAATTATATATGATATTAGTAAATATGAATGTATAATTTCCATCCTTATGCAAGCGTATTTTATTTATAAGAACTTACATCTCCGAAGCCGAAGCACGTYGTTCCACCTCCAGGACGTGGCCTGGTACCGATGGGATTACAACTACACTGCTTACAATCGGGAAATCCAACCAGACCTTTGGCACAGCTATCGCACTTCTTACCAACAACGTTGATTTTACATTGACATTTTCCGGTAGCTTGATGACATGTTAGACTACTGTGAGAGCCTTGGGAATGACATGCGCAATCTGTATACAGATAATAAAACAACGTACAAAGTTCCAAAGARAATGCATTGATACCTAGATTTTTCAAATCTGCTTATTTCATAGTCAGATGCCTAAGGGTCAGTCATGCCCCCAGAGAATATTTAAGGAATAAAAGACGAAATTCCGTGTTTGATACTCTGATCAAAACACGCGGGATGTAGGGAGAGCACGAGAGAAGCGTAGGAAACCACGACGCGTAGCGGAGTGGTTTCCAGCTTTTCGAGTGCTCTCCCTACATCCCAAGTGTTTTGATCAGAGTATCAAACACGGAATTTCGTCTTTTATTTCTTTTCTAAAATTAAAAGAATACGAAAATTGTAAAGAATTCTGACTTTTGATACGATATGAAACGAGCGTGTTTTGATACTGTAATCAAACATGGTTTTCGACCAATCACAGCGCGCGTAGTATCCTAAATATTTTAGAAATGTGTTTAACCAACGGTCATAAAACATAGGGTTTTGTATTGAGCCTAGTASTTTTCWTTGCATTATGTATTTCAGGTTCACTTYTTCTTGGGAAGAAAACAATATGGTAACCAACTGACCAAAAAACCAGTATACCAAACTGTCTATTGCCAAGATCAACCCATCCACCGGTCAGCAAACCAACCAAAACATGAAAATATACAAAGGTATGCGAAAGGATATAGGCGAACAAATAGAAATATCCTTACCACGACATGTAGGGAATCCATAAAATCCTTGAGCACACTTATCACAACTACGACCAGCAAATCCCTTGTAGCATATACATTCACCAGACTTGCCACATGTACCAAAACCAGATTTACAATCGCAAGCTAGATAATAAAACCAGAATGTGATTATAAGGACGTAAGACAAAATTGACATAAATTRAGATAACAGGGACAAATCCGGTGGTGGTTGCAGGGAATGCACGCCCCCTCCCCTTGAGACACGCCCTCTCCCCTTGCACCCTTTTTCATATTCAAGTTCTCCTTTGTGATAATTTGTGTGAATTCTTCTCCCAACTCCTGCATGCTATGCATCCGTTGACAAAGAAATTAACTCTTAATAATCTTCTTCGCGGTTTCCTGCGCCATATTGAAAGGTAGCCGTGCCTTTGCATCGAAGCGAGACGACCGTTGAACTTGCAATGATAGAAACCTTATTTCACACCTACAGACAATTATTCACAGGTATCTATCATTGCATGCTCAACGGTTGTCTCGCTTCGACGTAAATGCACGACTACCTTTCAAGATGGCACAAGGAACCGTGAAGAAGACTATTATATTTACAAAATAGTTTATGTAGTCCCCCCCTACCCCCTTCCACTAGGAGTGGTTGTACCTGTACACTGAGGGTAACTGTAGTAACCGACTTCACACTCGTCACAAGAGTTTCCCTTAAAATTGCTTTTACATAAACATTTGCCGTTCTCRTTGCAAACTTCCTTTGTCGTCGTCTTTAAATTACATCCACACCCTGTCAATCAAATAAGAAAAAAAAAAACATTCACTAGATATTGATAATGGAAAACATC